GAGAGAGAGAGAGAGAGAGAGAGAAAACCGGTAAAATACCAGTTTCTCCGAAATCTGGAATGTCGCCGCTAATAAGTCGACGAATACGTAAATAAAATCGCTCGAAAATTCTTGTCCGTGCAGTTATACATGCGAACGTTGCTCTCGAGTGAAGGTCATTCGCTCTCTCGCCGCGACCTTTCACCTTTCGCGCTCGCCGGCGTGCCGGGCCGGAAGTAGGGCAGAAGATCTTCAGTTTACATAGGTATTTTATGACGGGTTATCGCGCGAATTCCACAAAAGTTCCTTATCAACATCGCTTTACGAGTCATGTCTTTTGTTCAGCTCGATCATCGACGGGATAAAGGACGAAGGACCCGCTGAATGCGTAGCAGGTTATCCGCCGTGGAAGAGATGACTTTTCTCAGCGTCGACAGCTATGGCCGGCGACAGCTCGTCGTGCGGGACGGCGGCGAAGAAAAGGAGAATTATACGTGCAGTCCGGCCGAGCGGGAGGGGCCGATAAGAGAAATCGAATCGGGCTACGTGGAATCGTGAAAGTGAAGGTGAACGTCGCCGCCACGAGACAGGCCTATACCTGCGAGACAGGCCGATCGAGCCCGATGAATACCTGTTGCTGGACCGTTACTGGTCTCTCCCTATCGTCCGATCGTTCTTTTCCTCCGCTCGCTCTCGCGTCGTTGACGCACACCGCTGTATCGAGGAATTTATTTACGGATTACACGCGAGACGATAAACGCTGCACGCGATAAGGTGATATATTGTATACAACTCCGTCCTCGCGCAAGTGTCAAACGCAGTCTGTCAACGAGTATGGAAGGTCTAAAGAAGAAACTGAGCGAGTATGATCAGGAACATCTGCTCAAATTTTGGGAGGAGCTGACGGACGAGGATAGAAACCAATTGGAGAATGATATAGAAGAGTTGGATCTGCAAGAGACTGTTGCGTACTTTAAGAAAGCTGTGGAATCCTCCCAGCGCATCGGTCAAGGTACGCTGGATGACAAGGTACAACCGATCGACGAGACAAAGATCGCTTCTGTTAAGACCTCGACGAAGGAAGAATTGGAGAGGTACGAGGAACTTGGTTTGATAGAAGTCGCTGAGAGCCGTGTTGTTGTATTATTGATGGCAGGTGGCCAAGGCACGCGTCTAGGAGTGACCTATCCCAAGGGAATGTACGATGTTGATTTGCCATCTCGTAAAACTCTCTTCCAGTTGCAGGCGGAAAGGATACTTCGTTTGCAAAATATGGCAGAACAACGTTGTGGAAAACGTGGAGAGATAACTTGGTACGTAAGAAAAAATATCTTTGTTAGTTGAGAAGAAGTATATAAGTATAATGTATCGTAAGGAAAAGGAGGTGGACAAAGATATCAATTAAATTTTATTTATTTATTTTTTCTTTTTCAGGTACATTCTTACTAGCGACGCTACTCATGATGACACTGTCGCATATCTCAAACAACATGACTATTTTGGTTTAAAAGAAAAAAATGTCAGAGCCTTTAAGCAAGGCATGCTGCCATGTTTTACCTTTGACGGGAAAATTATTTTGGATGCCAAGCATCGGATTTCCAAAGCACCCGATGGTAACGGAGGATTGTATCGCGCATTGAAGAATCATAAAATATTGGACGACATGATCCAGCGTCGTATCCGGAGTATTCACGCGCATTCCGTGGACAACATCTTGGTGAAAGTAGCGGATCCTATATTTATAGGATATTGCTTGCTCTCCGAAACGGACTGCGGAGTTAAAGTTATTGAAAAATCTTCCTCCTCCGAAGCGGTTGGCGTAGTTTGCAAGGCATGTATACTTTTATATATTTTTTTTTGTGTGTTACAAATTAAATTTATATCTCGTACAAATACTTTGTGTAATGTAAAATTTTTATCTTGATTAATGTAGGTGGAGGATCATTATCAAGTAGTAGAATACAGCGAGATCACGAAGGAAACCGCGGAACTCCGTCACGACAATGGACAACTGGTATACAACGCCGCCAACATATGCAATCACTACTTCACGATTGATTTTCTAAAAGACATTGTATACTTTCACGAGAAAGATTTGATTCTACACGTGGCGAAGAAGAAAATTCCGTACGTCAACGATGAGGGGGAAAGAATCACTCCGAAAATTCCGAATGGTATCAAAATAGAGAAATTTGTGTTTGACGTGTTTCCTTTCGCGAAGAATTTCGCGGTTTGGCAGGGAACTCGCGAGGAAGAATTCAGCCCGTTGAAGAATTCAAATTCTGCCGGTCAAGATTGCTCGAGCACTGCTCGCACCGATCTGTTCAATCTACATAAAAAATGGTTATTGGACGCAGGCGCGAAAGACGTTGGCGACAGCGTCGAGATCTCTCCTTTACTTTCATACGCGGGAGAGAATCTGCATCAAATCGCGAATAATCAATCTTTCGCAGGACCGCAAGTTCTCGAATAATAAAAATATGAATGAAAAAGATTCCGCCGACCTATGGTAACGAGATATCTTGGAAACAATTGACATTTACATTCCTCTGTGATGAAATAAGATTAAGTGTAAGTAATATCATCTATAATAATTATATTTTATAACATTGGTTTTGAGATTTATATACAACTTACAAGCTTTCAAAATTAATCATGTTTACGATGATGGAACTGGTTACTATCTGGATAAAAGAAATAGGCATATAAATAAGCATGATATTAATAACTGTGCATCGAATTTTCGGCTGATATAAATTCAAGTATATATAATTCGGTGATAATTTCGCAATATATATATATATACATATATATCATCATCATTTTTATATACTGTTATGTATGTTAAATAAAAATTGAATATACAAAAGTTATTAGTGAATCTTAAACTATGCATAAACTAGTAATTTTCACTTTTATTATAAGCAAATCCAAGTTTAAAAAATAAATATTTTGAAAACAAAGAATTGTCCTTTCATCCAACAAACTGTTTTTATGGAACCACTATTATTTAGAAAAAGCGTACCTCGGATTAAATTAAAGAAATAAAGCTGTGGTTTTCTTTAATCAACAAATCATGATAAATAGAATATCTAGACATGGTGCAATTGGAAAATCTCAAATCTGGAAGCGGAAGACATTAATGCTCTGTTTAGCATACATAAGAAATTTTAAAATTATAGTATTGTTCAATCATATTTATAGTTAACAGTAAAAATTTTAAATTTGCAAACAATGGAGATGTTTGTGTGTGTTTCTTAATAAAAAGAAGAAATATTTTATAAATTGTAAGATTCTAAAATGCATTTTTGAAAGGATACAGTGACAGGAGTATCTGTATCATTTCTTAAGAATGTTCATATACAGAGAAATTAAAATTAGAGTATATGTGAACACGCGTTTCCATAATATAAGATACTTGTTATTTTAAGTCAAGTACATATACCTTTTCACAAGCCAAGGTCATTCTCATGTATGTTTACAACCATTGCAAGGATAATGACCGATCTTTCGTAGCATACATACTTTTTAAATTTCGTTTTATAAACATTGTTTAAACCAGATTAATAATCATGGAGTATGCGAGAAGCATAAACGAATATTATACTAATCTCGAATATGGTATAAATGATAAAAAGGTTAGTATGAATATGAATTATATATATAAACGTAATTATTAATTTTTTTATTAAGCCAATTATGAGATTTAATATTATTATTAAAAACAAAAAGAGAAAATATTTTGTCTATATTGTAAAACATATAGATAGTATTATGTACTTTTTTTAGGAAGCACTAAAGAGAATATCCAATTTATATTTGGAATTAGACTTTGAAGATGTTAATAATTTTGCAGTCAGGTAAATACATGTATAAATTTCAGCAAATAACGTAATAAAAATGTGAAAGCTTTTATTTTTCTCATATTTGTAGCATGCATATATATTTATTTTTTATTGTTTTTTTTTTTTTTTTTTAATTTTTTTTACAGACTCAGCGAAACAGCATTAATAATGCAAGACAATTTTCTTCTTTTTCTATCAGTTTGTGAACATATAGATGTAGTTAACAGTATTATTGATTATTTAAAATATTTTAGTGCGCAATTTATGCATGACACGAAGGGTATGTAGAATAAAATATTCTTGTAAATGTAATTATGAAAATATATTGATATTACATTCTTTGTATTTTTGTCAATTTTATTTTATCATAGTTTTTTATTTTATTTATAAGTAACAATAGCATCATATAATATACACATAAGATTCTTTCGTTTTCTAGGCGAATTTAAGAATAAATCTAGCTTAATCGCATCGTTGATGGCTACAATTTTTAATATAAGTTTAGAATCAGAAGTGCAACTATTTTTGGAAAATGCTATCATGTAATTAATTAGTGCAAAATATTTAATATAATAAATCAATAATTTCTTTTATCATATTAAAGTAGATTTTATCATATTTTATATATATTACTCTCTTATATTTTAGTAAAAATTCGGAGGTACAAAATGCTATACACAAAGACACTAAAATTCTAATTTCAGGTAAGAAAATTAATACACTTAAAATATAATTTAAATATTACTTCTCATATTTTCAAAAACTTTTAAGTATTAAAAATTAATAATTTTTATAATTAGTGTATATAAGATTAGTACTTTTTGTATAAACAGTATCTTTTAAATTTTATTTATAGAGCAAAAGATTGATATGATACTTCTTGAAGAATCAGATTTGTATGCATTTATTAGCTATTTGAAAATTAAAAACGTTGTGTCTTGTTTAAATAAAATTTGGGTCCAAATATCAATAAAAAAGGCTTTTCAATGGCATATAAGGAAATATTTTGGACATTTAAATGTTCCCATTCATATATTTCAATCAAAGCAAGAATTACTTTCATCAGAAATGTTTTGTATGGAATTTAGGATGTTTTCCATATGGTCAGAAGATATTGTAGGTGCAAGAAATTTAGCCATGTCCGTGAAGGTAAATCATTTAAATTATAAACACGATTTTGTCACATTGTGGTTATTAAAACAATCTTTTCTTTTAACAGGGACATGTTGTATTCATAAATACACATATGAATTTTTGCGCTAGTATCTTATTACCTTACGCAAAACTACTTGACCTTATATTTCGTTATGAAGATAAATCTGATTGTGAATGCTTAATAAATTCAGAAACAGATACAAGTTATAATCTGTTTTCTAACAAATATAATTTGTTTTATAATGGCATGTGGCAAAAACCTGTAACAAATACATATTGGAAATATAATGATATGTTATTGGCAAATGCAACAAGGTACAAATAGACATAATTCTCTGATCTTATTTTATAATAATTTTTGAATTAAAAGAAATTAATATATTAAACGTTTAACTTAATCATTTAATTTATTGTAGTGAAGATATGAAGAGATGTGTACAGTCAGCTGTACAAGGATTTAAAATTTGGAGTGCTAAATCCATTAATTCTAGAATGCATGTATTATCCCAGCTTGCATTAATATTAGAATACAAGAAGTACGTAAATGATTAAAAAGTGTTTCTATATTTCTATTTTTTATTTTTTTTAGTGAATCTTTATTAGCGGATATAGTATCAAAATGGTTAAAATTGCAATATTTTTCTATTAATCAATTGACTCACCATGAAACTGAATTTAAACAACAAAAATTTGAAATAACAAAAGTTCGTATACCAAGAGGTATTATTCTTCTTGAAGAGAAAGATAAAGTTACTATGTTTCGTGAATTAACACAAAGTTTAATTACTGGCAATTCTGTTATTGTGGTATGTAATCCAGATTTGTGTATTCTACCACTTTATTGCGACATATTTTCAACAGCTACAATACCACCGGGTGTTATAAATTTCTTGTCAAGTAAATTTGTAAAGAACGTTAATTATGATGAACTTGCAACATTAAACCCAGAGGAAGTATATACATATCTTACTATGAACAAGCATATTGTAGTTTGCCTTCAATAATTTTGATAACATAGCACGTATCTCAATGTTATCGAGTTATTAGAGATTTAATTAAGATTTAATATCATTTTATAGAACATACACACAAATTATAAATACACATGTGTGTTCATGCATTTTTTAGATACATTACACATTAAATATTTATTTAAAATTTAGAATAATGATTCTCAGTTATCTATTAATTAATTTTTTGAAACAAATTTATAGTGAAATAGTAATTCCCCATCTTTTTATATTCTTTAATTCTATATCACAAAAGATTGCTTATTATGATTGTTAATTGAAGTTTAAGATTGTTAATTGAATATTGTCAAAATTATAAATGTGTTCTTTATATCAACATTGTAAAATTTATGTTTTAATCTTTTGTTTTACATGTATCATAATTATTAAATAAAATACTAATTACAATAATAGTGAGTCACGATTAAATAATAAAAGACTAACATAAGACTATAAAATAAAAATATTTATTAATCAATAGCCATAATATAAATAAATATTTAAACATAATGTGACTTTTGAAAGCCTAAAGCATACAGTGGAAGATTTAAAAGAGGTTTGGAATACATAAAAAATTTCAAATTGTATGTTTAATTATATTTAACTTTGAAGACGTAAGTAATACAGATTTGTGTTTTAAACAAAAGGAAAAACTATTTTATGAATTGTCAGAATATAATAAGTATCTAAAAAGATGCAGTAGCAAAATATCTGTTATTTCTTTAAAAAATGTATATATAGAACAAAGAAATAAACGTTTTTGTAATATAAAAAGCATGTTACAGATTGTTTACACATTTCTCTTTTCAATCTTTAGTGCATCTTTTTTATTTTAGAATAGTATTATATGAAAATGTTATTAGTTTTAAAATGCTTTGCATAATCACCGGTTTATTGCTTTGTATCAAAATATACATTTTTTGCACGAACACCAAGGTCGTTTTCCTATGTGTCATTGTCATACGAAGATAACGACCAAGTTCTCGTAGTCATATACTTCTTTAATTTTGTTTATTGTGAAATATAATTGAAATAAAATTTATAATGAGTATTAGCATGTATGAACGAGTGAAAATTATTAATGAATATTATACTTATTTAGAATATAAAGACATCAGAAGGGTGAGTATAAATATGAATAATACATGTAAATATATTATATAATATATTAATAAAAATTATAATATTAATATTGAGAACAATGAAGAAAATTCAGATTTCTCTATATTTTTTATACAATGTCTATATGTATATGTTACTCTATCTTTTATTTATGTACTTTTAGGAAGCACTAGGAAGAATATGCGCTTTATCCAAGATATTAAAATTTGAGGATACTCACGATGTTTCATTAAGGTAAATAAACTTAAATTTAAGCTGCAATTATGATGTGATAAAAATGTAAAAGTTGCTTTTATCTTTGTTATATCTTTTACGTTTATAGATTTTTTGAGACAGCAACATTAATAAAAAAGAATTTGAGAGTTTTTATGGCAGCTTGCGAACATGTAGATGTAATTACCAATATTATTGATTACTTCATTCATTTTGCTGTGAGTTTTAAGTTCGATAATGCGTCAGGTATGTATAATAACATTTTTGCATTTGCGATTTTAAGAATATATTGATAATATATGTTATTTGCATCTTTACCATAATTATATTTTATCATAATTTTTTTTATATAATAAATGGCACTCATTATCATAGAGACATAGAAAATATATATTGTGTGTATCGAACAAATGTTGCATCAAAATTAGAAAAAGAACGCAATGTCTCAGATCAATGTCTGGTTTTTCTCTCTACTTAAAAAGAGATAAACATGTATGTCTGAGACATTGCGTTCTTTTTCTAATTTTGGCGCACGAATATACATATAACATAATATACATATAATATACATATAACATATACATATAACATAACATATGCTATGTCTATATTTCCTATAATATTTCTATTTCTAATTTTTATTTCTATTTCCCAAATTTCCTATAATAACAATCTATATTTCCTATGTTTATGCTCATTACTATATTTATACATAATAACAATACACATATTATATACGAACTTCTTTTATTCTCCAGCAAATAATAATGATGAGAAAATCATATTAATAATGCTTACAATCTACAATATGTATAAAGAACATGCAATTCAAATATTTTTGGAAACTGCCATCATGTAATTATTCTTTAAAAACTTTTCGTAAGAACTCTTACACTTACTGTATTATATTAGTTGATTAATATTTTATTGGTCATTACTATATTGAAATTGGTATTATTATCAATATTTTACATATTTTTATATTTTAGCAAGAACTCACAAATGCAAATATATAATCATTATAAAGAAGTTATATGTAAGAAAAATATATTTTTATATATAAGACATAACTTAAAAAAACGTATTTTTATTTTATATTTAATCATTACATATTTTATTTAGGCCCAAATATTAAAATGATACTTCTCGAAGATTCAGATTTGTACGCAGTTATTAACTGTCTGAAAACTAGAAATGTTTTGTTTCAATTAGATAAAATTTGGGTCCAAGAATCAATAAAACAAACTTTTGCATGGTATTTAAAGAAATATTTTGAGTATCTGCATATAAATTTTTATACATTTCGATCAAGACAAGAATTACTTACACTCAATACATCTACATATAGTGTACATATAGTCTCCATATGGTCAGAAGATATTATAGCTGCAAAAAATTTAGCAGAATCTTTAAATGTACATTATTATATAAGAATAATATAACTATAATATTAACTGAAATAATTTTGTTAAAATAATATCTATTTTTAACAGGTACATGTTTCATTCATAAATTCACACATGGATTTTTGTCCTGGTATTATGCTTCCATACATAGATATATATTTCAAACCATTATATGATTCTTTCAATTTACAAGAAATGGACAAATATGTATGTACAAATCCAATTAATTTAACTGCACATAAAGGTTTAATATATGATCTGTTTTATGATGGCATGTGGCAAAAACCTAAGAAAGATACATATTGGAAACATAATAACATTTTATTGGCAAATGCAATTTGGTATAAACATGCATACTTGTCTGCAATAATTCTTATTCCAAAACATTTAACAAAATATATTAAACTTGTAATTATTTAATTTCTTGTAGTGAAGATATTATAGATTGTATTGAATCAGCTACAGAAGGATTCCAAATTTGGAGTACTATGTCTAATGATTCAAGAATGCAACTATTATTAAAGTTTGTATCTATGCTAGAATGCAATGGGTATGTTAAATAATTTTATAATGTTTTATTTCTTGTATATTTGTTTGTGTTTATTCTGCCTTGATACTCTTTTATAACCTTATCTTTTTTTAGTAAATTTTCATTGGCCAAAATAGTATCAAATTGGATAAAGTTGCCATACATTTATGGAAGTCTGATACATTGCTTTCAAACTGAAAGATTTGAAGTAATAAAAACTCGTAAGCCACAAGGTACTGTTATTCTTAAGGAGAAAGATGAAATTACTTTATTTTGTGAATTAACACAAAGTTTAATTATTGGTAATTCTGTCATCGTGATATGTAACCCAGATTTGTGTGCTCTGGCACCATATTGTGATATGTTTAAAATGTCTGGGATACCTCCGGGTGTTATAAATCTCTTGTCAAGCAAAAACACTGACTTTAGATATGATACAATTAATAATGCAACAGTAAATGAAATATTTGAAACTCTTAGTGAAGTCAAACATATTGTAGTTTCTCGTAAATAATTTTAATAATGTATGTGCTCTAATGTTTACAATAAGAACTATGCAGATATATACACACATGTATAAACTCATTCATATATTTAAAAAATATAATTCTAGAGGGATAACTTCTCTTGTATTAAATTTTTAAATTAATTTTTCAAAATAAAATTGATAGAATCAAATAACTTCTCCCACTTATCCTTATATTGTGATATAATTCTCCTCTAATTCAATGATAAAAGATTGTATGTCATGATTGTTGATATCAAGAAATTATAGATATGCTACATAAATTAATATTGTATAATTTATGTAACTCTGTTTTACATACGTCACAATTAATCACAATTAAAACAAAAGATCAAATATAAACTTACGAAATAAAAATATTTAATCAACAGTCATGATAAATGAATATCTACACACGATGCGACTTTTGAAGGTATAAAACGGAAGCAAAAAACATTAAAAACGCCTGGTATATATGAAAGAATTTTAAATTGTACTATTTAGTCATATTTAATTTTGAAGTTAAATAAATGATATAGATTATTCTTTGTTAACAAAACGGAAAAATATTTTATGAATGATAAGAAGATAAGTATATCAGATGCAATAGCAAAACGAATATCTCTGTTACTTTTTAAGAAATTTTATATATAGAACAATTAAATGAGAATGTGTCTCTGTAATATAAACGGCCGTTACATAACTGTTTACACATTCCTCTTTACAATCTTTAATATATATCTTATTTTATTAGTATTATGAAAATATTATTAGTTTTAAAATACTTTGCATATAATCACCGATTTGTTGCTCTGTATCAAAATATATAATTTTTGCACAAGTACAAGGTCGTCTTTCTGTATTTACAATCATTGTTGTGCGAAGATAACGCGCGCGATCAATCTCTCGTAGATATATATGTAAATTCTCTTTAATCTCATTTTATAAAATATTGTTGAAACCAGATTAGTAATAATGTATGAGCGTGTAAAAACTATTAACAAATATTATAATAATCTAGAATATAATAAAAATAATAAGAAAATGGTGAGTATATGAATATGAATATGTATATGTATTATTAATAAAGGATTTATGAGATTTAATGTTCATATTGAAAACAAAGAGAGAAAATTTAATCTCTATTTCTTGTAAAATATGTAATACTATTTCATATATGTACTTTCAGGAAGCATTAACAAAAATATCCAATTTATTTAAGGAATTAAAATTTGCGGATACTGATACTATAGAAATTAGGTAAATAAACACTTTAATATTTTAAAATACAAATAATGTGATAAAATGTAAAAGTTGCTTTTACCATGTGATATTTATAATGAGTAGATATATACATTTGGATTTTTGTCTGTAGATTTCTTTATACAGCATCACTAATAGAAAAGCATTTGGATCTTTTTATGACAGTTTGCCAACATGTAGATGTAGCTACCACTATTCTTGATTACTTCTATTATTTTGGTGCAAATTTTGCGCTTGATTCACGGTATTATGGTATGCATAATAAAATACTTGCAATTAGAATTTTAAAAATATATTGATATTATATAAAATTTATTTGCGTTCCTATCATAATTTTATTTTATCATAGTTTTATTTATATCCAAATAATAATGGCACACCACCACTAACGTCACTAATAATGCATTATAAAAAAAATTCTTTTGTTCTCTAGCTGAAAGCTTCGATATAACCATGTGTGTAATATTTACAATCTCTAATATTTATAAAGAAGAAGCTATACAGATATTTTTGGAAACTGCCGTTATGTAATTATACAGTAAAAATTCTTATACTGCATTACATTAATTGGTCATTATTATAGAAAAATTGATATTATTCATATTTTATAAGTTATGTTTATATTTTAGTATGGAATCACAAAAACTGGTGTATTATAATTATAAAAAAATTGCACGTAAGAAAAACATTAAACATTATATAAGATATAATTTAAAATCGTATCTTTATCTTATAATTAATTACTTCAATATTTATATAGCCCGTCACATGGAAATAATGATACTTCTCGAAGATTCAGACTTACATGCAGTTATTAACTGTTTGAAGTTTAAAAACATTATGTATAGTTTAGATAAAATTTGGGTCCAAGAATCAATAGCACAGACTTTTATGTGGCATTTTAAGAAATGTTTTGGACGTCTGGATGTTCCTATTTGTATATTTCAATCAAAGCAAGAATTAATTACATGTAGTGCATCTGTATGGAGTATATATATGGAGAATATAATGAATATAGTATCCATATGGTCAGAAGATGTTATAGCTGCAAAAAATTTAGCAGGAACTTTAAATGTACATTCTTAAAAATTATGCATCGTAACATTGTCAAACAAATGTTAACGAAATTAACGATTTCTTTTTTCAGCAACAAATTATATTTATAAATACGCATATGGATATTTGTCCCGATATTATATTTCCATATTTTGATATAATTCTCAAATCATTATTTCTGTCTATGCACTCTTTACGAGATATAGACAATACAAATCCAACTGAGCATAAAGTTACCTTAATATACGATCTGTTTTATAATGGCATGTGGCAAAAACCTAAAGAAAATACATATTGGATACATGAAAATGTTTTATTGGCAAATGCAACTCGGTATAAACATGCATACTTATCTGCAATAATTTTTATATTCGAAAATATTTAATAAAATATATTAAAGTTGTAATTATTTAATTTATTGTAGTGCAGATGTTATGGAATGTATTGATTCAGCTCGAGAAGGATTCAACACTTGGAGTACTATGTCCAGTGAGTCTAAAATGCAAATATTATCTAATTTTGCAACCACATTAGAATGTAATGGGTATGTTGAATCATTCTATAATATCTTATTTCTTACATAGATTTGTATCTGTTTATGTGTTTATTCTTTCTTGATATTCTTTTTTATGATTTCCTTTTTTTTGTAGTGATTATTTATTGGCCAAGATAGTATTAAAATGGATAAAAATGTCATATATTGCTGGAAATACAATAGATTGCTTTCAATCTGAAAGATTTGAAGTAATAAAAGCTCGTAAGCCACAAGGCACTATTATTCTTAAGGAGAAAGATGAAATCACTTTGTTTCGTGAATTAACACAAAGTTTAATTATTGGCAATTCTGTCATTGTGATATGTAACCCAGATTTATGTACTCTAGCACCATATTGTGACATGTTTAAAATATCTGGAATACCTCCGGGTGTTATAAATTTTTTATCAAGTCAAAATGCAGGGGACATTCAATGTACTAATTTTGTAAATTCAACGTCAGCTGAAGCATTTGCTGGACTTACCGTAACACAGCATATTATAATATCTCGTCAATAATTTTAATAAGATACCACGTAGGCTCTAATCATTCTAATGTTATGATAAATCCGCGGATAAATACACACACAAATATAAACACACATTCACATATTTATATATTATAATTTTAAAAGAACAATATCTCTTGTTATTAAGTTTTTCAATTAATTTTTTAAAACAAAATTGATAGAATTAAATAGCTTTTTCTGCCAACCCTTATACATATCAACAGATCCTTTAATTCAGTGTTATAAAAGATTGTGTGTTATGATTGTTGGTTAAAAATGTCAAAATTATAAATATATTGGTTAGATTAATATATTATATAATTTATTTTGTTTTAATCTCTTCTGTTTCATATATCTCCCACTTAGTAAATAAAATATAATATTAAGTACAATATATCACACATAGCTATAATATTATTAATCAATTAAAAAGAAAGATTAAATGAATTTACAAAATAAAAACATTAATCTCAATAATCATGATAAATGAATATCTAGATACGATGCGATTTCTGATTTCTAAACCGGAAGTGAAAATCGTTAAATATGTATATAGAAGAAATTTCAAATTATATTATTCCATCGTATTCGACTTTAAAGTCACTAATAATACAAATTTGTTTTAATATAAATAAAATATTTTGTGGATGGTAAAAAAAAAGCGCGCGCGTAAAAATTTAAATAGATATAGAAAAATGAATATCTCTCTGTTATTTCTTAAGAAATTTTATATATAATAAATAATTAAAAAGATATAGATGTGTGTGTCTCTCCGTAATATAAACTCTCGTTACATTTTCCTCTTTTCAATCTTTGTTCAATCTTTATTTTAATAGTATTATGAAAATGTTAATAATAGTATTAAAATAATGTTTCATATCATCACTATGTGGTTTGTTGCTCTGTATCAAATATATATATATATTTTTTTTTTTTCACAAACACAAAAGGTCGTCTTTATTTGTATCGATCTCTCATAAACACATATATGTGTAATTCTTTCTTTGTAATCTCGTTTTATAAAATATTGTTTAAACCAAATTAATAATCATGCATGAGCGTGTGAAAATTATAAATAAATATTATACTAATCTGGAATATGATAAAAATAACAAAAAAATAAACGTGAGTATGAATATTAAATAATACTATTATATATATATATTAAAAAGGAAAATTATGAAACTTTTAATATTAATATTGAGAACAAAGAGAGAAAAAACTTGATATATATTATTGTATAATGTTTATTATTATCTCTTTTACACATATTTTTAGGAAACACTAGAAAAAATATTCTTTTTATTTAAAGAATTAAATTTTAAGAAAACTGACAAAATCTCACATAGGTAAATATAGACACTTAAATTTAAGCTGTAAATAATGTGATAAAAATGTAAAAATGTTACTTTTATTTTTGTCACATTTATATCTGATTTTTCATGTTTGTAGATTCTTTCACACAGCATCACTAATAGAAAAGCATTTGAATCTTTTTAAGTCAGTTTGTGAACATGTAGATATAATTACCTCTGTTCTTAATTATCTCTATCATTTTGGTGCAAGTTTTTTGCTTGATTTAAGTTTTGGTATGCATTAAATAATATATCTTTGCAATTTTAATAATTATATCGATATTATATGTTTTATTTGTGTCCCTAGCATAATTTTATTTTATTTGTAAATAGCAATAACACTATAACAAATATTATATATAGAAAATTCTTTTAATCTTTATAGATGGATATACATCGCCAGTTATGTTAATAATGCTTACAATCTACAGTATGTGTATAGAAAATGTAATACAGGTTTTTTTGGAAACTGCCATTGTGTAATTATTCTTTGTAAAAATTCTTATAATGTATTATATTAATTGATTATTATTATATTAAAATTGATATCATTGATATATTTTGTTATTTTTATATTTTTAGCCCGGAAGACGAAATGGAGATATATCAGGATTATAAAAACGTTTTACGTAAGGAAAATATTTATATAAGATATAATTTATAAATAAAATTAGATCTTGCAATTAATCACTTTAATATTTATGTAGTGCAGCATTTTGAAATGATACTTCTGGAAGATTCAGATTTGTATGCAGTCATTGATTGTTTAAAGTTTAAAAGCGTTACGTCTGGATTACATAAAATTTGGGTCCAAGAATCAATAGTACAGACTTTTAAATGGCATTTTAAAAAATATTTCGGGCATTTGGACATTCCCATTCATATATTTCAATCAAAGGAAGAATTACTTACAGACCGTCCATTTAAATGCCATATAGATATAATAAATGAAATGAATATAGTGTCCATATGGTCAGAAGATGTTATAGCTGCAAAAAATTTAGCAGAATCCTTAAATGTATATCATTAAAATTATATTACATAATATGCCATTTTATAACATATATTTCCAAATTGTGCTATTAAAACAATGTTTCTTTTCAACAGCAACATATTCTATTTATAAATACACACATGGATTTTTGTCCTGGTATCATATTTCCGTATATAGATTTAAATTTTAAATCATTATATCAGTCTCTCAATTTATCTCAATTGGATGAACATACATATACAAATGTAATAAATCCAATAAATCATAAAGGTTTAACATATAATCTGTTTTATAATGGCATGTGGCAAATACCTATTAAATATACATATTGGATACATAATAACATTTTATTGGCAAATGCAACTCGGTACAAATATAGTAGTCTTATTTTATATAATAATTTTCTAATTAAAATAGTTTAACAATATTATATTTGAATTTGTAATCATTTAATTTATTGTAGTGAAGATGTTATGAAGTGCTCTGCTTCAGCTACAATTGGATTCACAACTTGGAATATTATGTCTAGTAAATCTAGAATGAAGATATTATCTAATTTTGCATCCACATTAGAATGCAATGGGTATGTTAAATCATTCTATAATGTCTTATTTCTCGTATATTTGTATGTGTTTATTTTGTCTTGATATTCTTTTTTAATTATGTCTTTTTTTAGTAAATTTCTATTGGCTTCAACGGTATCAAACTGGATAAAGTTATCATATATTCGTGGAAGTCTAGTACAATGCTATCAAAATGAAAGATTTGAAGTAATAAAAACTCGTAAGCCACAAGGCACTGTTATTCTTATGGAAAAAGACGAAATTACTTTGTTTCGTGAATTAACACAAAGTTTAATTATTGGCAATTCTGTCATCGTGATATGTAACCCAGATTTGTGTATTCTGGCACCATATTGTGACATGTTTAAAATATCTGGAATACCTTCGGGTGTTATAAATCTCTTGTCAAGCGAAAACACTGACTTTAGATATGATACCATTAATAATAATTCAACAGTAAATGTAATACATGGTGCTCTTACTATAGTCAAGCATATTATAATTCCTCATAAATGATTTTACATAGTAACATATGGTATGCGTCCTAATATTTATGATAAATCTATGTAGATATATATATTAAGTATAAACATGTTCGTATATTTATTTAAATATTATAATTATAAAAATACAATTTCTCTCTTTAATTAATTAATCTTTTAAAATAAAAATATAAAGTCAAATAATTTTTTGCGCCAATTTCTATATTATGGCATTCTCTATAATTTAATGCTATAAGGATAATAAATTGTATGTTATATTTATTCATTATAAATGTCAAATTGTGTTGATTATAAAGATGTCAAAGTTATAAATATGTTGATTAGATTAGCATTGTATTTGTTGTTTTAATCCTATACTTCACATGTTACAATTAAAAATATCCAATTAAAATTTTGCGTAATTGTAAATCGATGCACGAATAGCTTTATTCGGAAATAATTAAACTTAACCTAACTGAAATTCCTAATTTTTATATTCAAATATATATATATATATATATTTGTGGCATTTTATATATGTATATATTTAAATTTATTAGGACTTTTCGACTCAGTTTGGTCCGCTCTATCTGCACACGAGTATTGTCCCAAATGATCTGGGACACCCTGTATATATTATTATATTTAATAAATATAATATGAAAACGAGCACACTTATATTAAAATTAATCGATTCTTTCAGCTTTATTTACAAACTTAACTACTCGTTTATGGTTGGAACCCTGCTAATTTTAACCGTCGGTTAATCTAACCGGACTTGGTGAAATTGGCCCTAATTTGTCAAAATGTCAAAAGCAATCGATCGTTTGAGCGACAAAAAGGATCACGTGATCGAAATGAACGAATGAGTGACGACGGTCTGGTCGCTGATTCGTTCATTTCGATCACGTGATCCTTTTTGTCGCTCAAACAATCGATTTTAGCGGCTCGTGAAAATGTACCTTTAAGGTATATCGATGTAAACTAGGCTATAGTGCAATTATAATTGTCACTAGATGTGTTATTAGTAACTTTTAGTGCGCATTGTGTGGTATTATAATTAACTGCCGATTTAACTTTAAACTTGCATAGTGATGCAAAAATCTGAATTGTGTTTATTTAATTATAAAGTTATCTGTCTTAATATAATATTTAATTAATTAATTGCAATTGCGTGCGTACGTAATAGAATTCAATCTAGTATTAAAGTGCTATCACTAAAAATAATAGCACTTAAGAAATTTAGATTGTATTGTATGGTGATATATAACGTGGTGTATATACGAGAGTGTGTGTGTTATCTTATAAGAATAAAAAAAATTTGTGGAAGGCACGTGAAAGGATAGTAAACAAAACGAATTGTATAATATATATAGTTTTTAATTTCCTATAAAGTCTTTTCTGAACATTTTCGCGTGACATGAGTTTGATTACTGACAAAATCATGCGAATTTTGCGCAAGTGTCATTCTGATAAAAATAATATAGAAAATGAATCGAAAGTGAGTGATACGAAAAAATCACAAAAGAAAATCGAAAAAGAAAAGTTGGAGGAAATTAAAAGTAATGCAGAAAAATTACTTGCGGATGCACGATGCAATTATGTGGGAAGTATTGAATATGCTAGTTTAAATAAAATGCTGGCAATTTGTAATTTAGAGGTAATTAAATCTTTAATTTAATTATATATATATATATACACAGTAATTTTTTACCAATTTACCTTAATAATGATCAAAATGATCTTACAATAATATTAATATCAGCTATACATGTATCTTTTTAGATTGGAGATGAAGTCACAGCCATTCATCATTTGGTTGAATCACATGCAGTAATACTCCGACAACACATTTTGAACAGATATCAGAAGTCTCAAATGTATGAATCTTTAACGGATAAATCTCAAATATATGGTTTGAAACCAACATATGTAAAGTTTGAAACCAAATTTACAGACAATAATGAATCATTAAAATCAAAGCTCGCAGAACTACCAAAAGGTACATACATTTTCTTTTTCTTTTTGTTACAATATATTCCTATAGAAATTTGTTATATTTATATTCTGATTCTCTATCCACAGAGTGGTATATGATTCAAGTTACTGCCCAATATGAATCTTCAAATGTATTAAGGCATGAAAAACATACATCTACTGTAATGCATGCCATACATATTACAATATTGCCTACAGGGCCATTTGACATAGAACCTTTGTGCATAACTTTACCAAAACCTGCAACACAGGTATCTTATGATATCTGTAAAGAGATCAAGAAGTTATTGGCTAACTACACATATGAGTTACGAGCCACTTATGCAAATCCTAAGCAATATTGGATGATGCGTGTAGATCAGAACAACAAAATGAAGGTAGACTTGAATTTAAACTATTATGCTTCTTAAAGAAATTTAAGATGATTAATTACAGATAGCTATAAATGCATTGGAGAAGATATGGCTGCGTGAATGGAGAGTACTATTTATGGCTGATCCCATTGAAAATTTAGAAATTGTAGATGAAATACATCAAGTGTTGGATAAATTGATATCAGATTTCAAACCTTCGTTAGTAATATTTGATAGTTATTATTTAAAGCCTATTGCAATATATTATTTTTATATTTTGATTTTTATTATTGTGCTACTTTAGCATTGAAATATCAAAGCGATGTAGATGGCTTCTGAGAAAGATATTCACGTGTTCATGTTTTCTCACGCATGAGGAAATAGCGCGTGCAGTGAAATTTCTGCTTCCTGATTATGAAAAACTTGCAAATAACATTATTTTGTCTATTTATGGAAAGTTAACATATGTACAAAAATTAGAAAGCGCAAAACGAAAGACGTTAGTTTTAATTATTGACGAGGTAAGTGTACAATATTATGTTGAAAAATAATTATATACAAATCTATATAAATTTCTGTTTTGTATGACAATTCACTTTATTTGTTCTTATTCTTAAGCATATGGATTATATAGCATTTGAAGCTATGGAAATTATTAAGAATCATCCTGTTACTCGTTTCCCTTCTCTACATGTGGCATATGCATTATTTAAAGAACATGAAGACACTATAGTAGAAGGTTGTAAAATAATTAAAGCCAAAAAAGATATGGGAATCTGTATGATCAATCCGTCGGGCGATTTAAATAAAATGGAAAAACGCATAAAGCTTTTTATGGACTTTTGGTTACCACAATGGAAAACTTACAACACAGAGCCTAGCGAAGAAATTTTCGAGGACGCGCTAATAAATCATGATATTTTAATGTATAAAAATATTATTTTTCTATATATATCAGCAATTATCGTTATAGATTATTCGTTTAATTGTATCTATCTTTTTTCCCTATAGGTATAATGGGCATGGGAGTGGCATAGAATATTTACCCGGAGAAGATATTGAAAGAATGAAAGTGAGATCTACTGTTTTATTATTCGGATGTAGTAGCGTAAAATTATTTATGATAGGCGGAAGATATCCGCCTTTCGGTATTTCAAATCAATATTTAATAGCATGCAGGTAAAAAGGATATGTATTGTTTATTTCTGTATCAAGTGTAAGAATTTTGTTTAAATTTAAAAGAAATTGTATAAATTAATTTTATTTTCAGTCCTTGTCTTCTGGGTATGTTGTGGGAAGTAACAGATGTTGATATTGATAAAATGACTGCACACTTTATGAGTAATTGGGTTCCTTCATCGTCTGAGAAATCGTGGACTGATGTAGACATAGATAGTTGGAGTTCTGGTACTTTAAGTTAGTATTATGAGATAAAAGTCACTTTTCATGTTTTCTCTTCAATATTTGATAATTTTTTATAATGAAATTTTTTTAGAATACACGAAGAAAACAGGAAAGAACAAAACGGAAATGGAGTCAGAAATGTTACGGGCAGTGGCAAAATCTAAGAATAAGTGCTATCATTATACGACAGCAGCTGCAATAATAGTACGAGGCTTACCAATGAAAATAGTTTAAATTCTTCCTGATATTGCAGGTATATTTTTTTTTGCGATATTGATGTAAGTTAATTTCTTTTTCTACATCGTATACAAAAGCAAAGCTGTGTTCAGAAGACAAAAGAATTTTATTGATTATTTATAAAGCAAAATCTGTATTTTTTTATGTTTTAACGCGAAGATATCTTAAAGACGCGCGATGCTGTATGTAAAAATAATAACAACGTATAGAAAATATTGTACATTCAAGTGTTCTTAAAAATTGTTAAAAAAATTTCCTAATATACATATATCTTGGCCAATTAGTATTGCCTTCAATGATTCGCGAGCTTAGGTTATACTCTTTGGTCACATAATAATCTGCGGTTCTGGTACAGAAGTGGAAATGTTTTTATGTGGCAAAACTTGTCCACCATTAATATATAGTTCATCCTTCACAATAACATCTTCCCCTAGTACAGTTGTACCTTCCATTCGCACCCATCGTCCTACAACACTTCTCCATCCGACTATACATCTGTTTAAATGATATATATTGTTAATTACTTTGATATTAATATCATACATGTAAATCTTTGCACATATACATAATGTAATTAATACTTGCCCATCAAGCCATGCATGCTCTTTGATCACAGCTGCCTTAAGAATAGTGCTTCGTTTAATACAGCATCCATCAGCTAAAGTGACACCAGGCCCAATTGTGACATTGGGACCAATTCTGCAATCCTTGCCAATTGTAGCTGTCGGATCTATTAAAACATTCCCCACTATGCCCGGCCCAGAATAAAGCTGTTCAGGGTGCTTTTGCCTTAACGAAGCAAGGTACATAGACATTCCTGAATAAAATTATAAATATCAGATATAAACGAACAAATTAACTTGTGTACAAGTAATGTATAAATACCTGTAAGAAAGTCTTTAGGTTGTCCTACATCCATCCAGAAGCCTGGCAATTCCATCGCGTACAATTCTCCATCCTGAGCCATGCTTGGAAAGACTTCCTTTTCAATGCTGGTAGGTTTCAATTCTATTCTGTTCAATACACTTGGATTTAAGATGTACATGCCTGCATTTTGTCAATATAATTAATTTTTTTACATTATGCAAATGTGCCTACAATCTATAAGATTTTTCTACATAAGTTTTGATATTTCCATTATCGTACCTGCATTAATTTTATTAGATATAAACTCTTGCGGTTTTTCGATAAAACTCTCAATTTTTCCATCTTCTTTGTATACAACTACACCATACTTTGATGGCTCCTCTACTTTAGTGACAATTATAGTTCCCTCTTTACCATGATTCTCATGAAACTCGAGGAGCTGTTTAAAGGGAAAATCGCAAATAATATCAGAGTTCAAAACAAAGAATGGATCATCACTGGCACATAAATATTCACGCGCGAGCGCAAGCGGTCCAGCAGTACCCAATGGTTCCGGTTCGTGAGAGAAGATAAGTCTTACTCCCAATTTCTTTGCTTCATGAACCAACTCCTCTTCCATTTGCTGCGCTCGATAGGAGACAGCCAATATCACTTCCGTTACATTTGTTTGTACCTATAAGAATGTTAAAAAAATATACTTGGAAATAATGAAAATTACTTCGACAAACTTTGGTAAATTAATCAATTGTCAAATGACAAATATTTATATACCAGTGCTTCGATCTGATGTAGGAGCATCGGTTTATTTGCAAATTCGACAAGTGGCTTGGGTCTACTTAAAGTAAGAGGTCGCAATCTGGTCCCATAGCCACCTACAAGTATTAAAGCACGCATGGTTTGTAACTTTTTTCTCTTTTCATGCATCCCTAGAAATCCTGTAACAGTTACAATAGAAAAAGAGAGGTAGTTTGTGCTCTGATAATAAAAACTGTAATTAATTCATATTCCTATTATTAATATTGTATATTATATCATTTCTTATTAAATTACTTTATCAACTTTTTGTTCATATTTTTATTCTGCTTTACTGCAAATTAATATACGTTTATTTATTATTATTTCATTATATATATATATATTACTAAATTGTTTAATATAGATAGTAACAATCTGTTATATAGTGTATTGTGTTAATTATTTTTTGTCGAATACATGCAATGTTACTTACGTGCAACGCACGCCTTGTTAACGAAGCAATACGGTATCTTTCTGCGATAACTATTGCCACGTAAGATGCACTTGTAATAGATGTAAGCGCGCTACGTGTTTACGAGCATATTCGTGATATGGTAGCATAGATCTTATATATATATATCTATGTATGGTAGCGACAACTTTCGCGATATTTCACTATCAGCACAGACAAAAATAAATTGCTATACACAATCACAAACCTTATGTGTTCCTTTCACATAATGATTATTTGTTTCACGAATCTCTGTGGCTAATTAATTTTCCAGCAATATCACTGGACGCCATGTTTCCATCTGCTTACCTGTCACCGCCACCGAACTGTCACTTTTGACATGACGGTATCGTACTTTTCGTTATCGGAGGTTAGATGACAAAAAGATTTTATGAGTGAATATTTTCACTGTAAGATGGTTTATAAATTATCTATCTAAAGAGATTTCAAAAATATTTCTTCCACGTAATTATTAAATCGATGATGTAATATAACCTTTTCAATTGTCCGTTAAGATGATGGTAAACATGACAAATGTTGCAAATAAAATATGATCTTATTTAACATTTAATATATATCTACCTATAAAAGAGAAAATAAATTTTTAAACACATTTTTTTATTTCAAATACGTATATTACAAAAGAAAAAAAAAGTTGTATTACTTTACAAGAGCGATAGTTTATTTAAATGTAAAGTACAGATAAATTTGTGTGCATAAGCGTTAAACGATCATTTCCAGTTCTCTGGCGTAGTCTATAGCAAGCGTTGCCAATTCAGAGCTCGGGATAGGCTCCTCGGACTTTTTCTCATTGGTCGTGGTAAAGGAAAAATAACCGTCCTTGGACAGGTTCCAATTTTTCTTGGTGGCAAACGCCTTTATGTCTTTCTCCGTGTTTAAGTTGAGCATCCTTGCAGCATCCTGAATGGAGATCTTGTCATACGCGCTCTCCATACACGCGCCGATCTCATCACGAACAGTATTCAATAAAATGTCTATGAAGAAATTGTAGGATGCGGCGGGCACGTTGCCCTTGGCCAGGAAAATTTTGTTGTACGAACCCTCCATCAAGTATTGCTCCAGACTCAAGGGATGCCTTATGTAGACATTTGATTGTATCTGATCGGATGGCAGGAGTTCGAGTTCTGTGTGAAACTCAGCGACGCGATTTTGCGACAACAGAAACAAGAGATTCAGACCAAGAAGCTGATACTTATACGCCGATTCCATCAAACCAGACTTGTAATCAAAATAATAGCATTTGAGCTGCGCCATGTATCGCTCGAAGGAAGGTATATCTTCGGCGGCGATACTCCATTGCGCTCCAATTTCCAATATATCTCCTGCGATAGGTATAAAACAAATTAATATATTCGATATGTACATATATAATTGTGAAAACTTGAACGATACATACTGGCAATGAGTAATTCATTTTGACTGGCCGTGCTGTTTGACGTCGGGAGAAACATCAGATGCGTGAGACCGATCTGCACAGGATACACATATAATTATCACACATTTAATTGTTAATGTTATATATACGATAATTATGAAAATTTTATATATACACATATCTAAAAGCCGAAATGTCAAATATAATAACGAAATGATCATTGAAATTCGGAAAATAAAGTTAAAGGGCATACGATGACAATTCATTTTGACAGTCCGTAAATACGATGAGGTTATGACGAGTTATTTTTGTCAGCAATTACCTCGCTTGACGCTTCATGAATAAAACACTAATAAATTACCTTCAATTGATTGAGCAATTCGCTGCATTTCTTCAAATTACACGGGGTTCTTGTCCACTCGCGTTTTAAATTCTGATACAAGGAAACAACATCCTTGAAGGCTGCCATTTTTAATTTCGCCGTGGAACAATCAAATATTTGAGATGCATGACCCAAGAGAAGGCCAGTTCTGCCAATTTTCATTGTCATTAAAAAATCAAAAATTCTGTTCGAAAATCTTCTCGTCGTATAGAATGAGAGTGCAAACCCATGCAACGGAATAGCGTTAAGCCCGTATCAGACTACGCATTGAAAATTGAAGATTGAAGATTAAAGATTGGAATTTGACTAATCAGAATAAAAGGGACTAAAATTTTTTTGTCCTGATTGGTCAAATTTTAATCTTCACTCTTCAATCTCAATTTTCAATGCGTAGTCTGATACGGGCTTAACGCAGAAAGAGAGCAAAGCCAATCACAAGCTTTTTGCAGTTTTCGTTACGCTCGCGATTGGTTCCCTTCTCGTTCCGCGTTAAGCCCAAATCACACTAGCGGCTCGCGGCTGCGGCTGCGATTGCGATTGCCTCAGCCAATCAGAAAGCACCAATTGCAAGTATGATTGGAGCGTAGCAAATCACAATCACAAACGCAATCGCAATCGCAGCCGCAGCCGCGAGCCGCTAGTGTGATTCGGGCTTAACGCGGAACGAGAAGGGAACCAATCACGAGCATTCTGCAGTTTTTGTTACGCTCGCGATTGGTTCCCTTCTCGTTCCGCGTTAGGGAGAATTCACACCTTGGCAGAAAAGCAGAAAGCAGAAAAGCAGAAGCCAATCAGAACTCGTGCTAGAAAAGCAGAAGCCAATCAGAACTCGCGCTGAAAATAA